TACGTCTTGCCAAACCGGCGATTCACTACGTCTTAATTCGCGAGTCGAACTACTTTTTCGCGATGTTCGCACCGTGACAATCCGTCGTTGACTCAGGCGGAATCGACGTTCTAACGCTCGGACACCGACCTCGGCGCGTAGCGTAGAAGAGTCGCGCCGATCCGCTCTCTCACTCGCTCTTATTCCTTTTCCCACTCTGCATATCCAAATTTGAATTCTACGATCCGTTACCGGTCGGGCATTGACTTCGATCGCGGGAAGGCAACGATCCTCCGTGCCGTTTTTTGCCGCGCAATCCGGCGCGTGTCGCGATAAACACTCGCTCCGGAGGTCGTCGAACACCGATATGTTATTGTTCTCGCGGTTAGCTCGATTTCTACCTTCGGAGAAAAAACCTCAATCCGAAGACCGTGCTAATGACCGAACCGCGAATCGAATTTACGAAATTAATATTCGATTTTTAAACAAAAGTCTTATGGAAATGTCAGCGTGGAAGAACTATGTACTGATAAGCGAGCGAGTGATATGTTAACAAACGACCAAAGTCCGAGTGAACATGATCGAAGTAGCAGCGAAGTAACCAAACACACTAGTTAACCGGGTGAAATGGGAACTGTAACGTTGCGACGATCCATTAGGGTAAGAAAAGCTCTGGAGAGGCTCAACTTGTAATTTTTCTTTTCCAAGGTAATGTTAAATTAAGGGGGGAGGATTGTAATATCCGCTAGAGTAGAGTGAACAAGAACGAACTCGTATGTTTTAAGACGAAGCAACACGAGACACAGGGATAACCGCCGAAGTACAAATTATATTTTAGATTCTTTAATAAACACAATTAACCAGTCATCAGTATATATATCCTCGCTCCCGTACACAACAAAATGTATGAAAGATTCCTGCATTCCACTTCAGCCCACTTGAAGAGTATGTATTTGAACGGAAGCAACACGACAATCTTGCTGTACAGTGCAATTCTGAGGGATACTTCGGCAAACAAGCGTTCTTTCGAGGTACATTCGGCTTAAACGTTTATAAGGCGACTTATATCCCATAAGTGTATGAAAGAATCCTGAATTCCTCTTGAGAACACTTGAAGAAGGTGTATTTCAACGGGAGCAGCACTAAAATCTAACTGAAACGTGAAATTCTGAGGGATACTTGGGGAAATAGTCGTCCTTTCGTTGTACGTTCGGCTTAAACGCTTATAAGACGACTTGTGTCAAACATATGTATGAAACATGCCTGAATTCCACGTGAGAAGACATGAAGAATGTGTATTTCAACGGAAAGAAACCGAAAATCGAACTGGAATGTGGAATTCTGTCAACTACTGGGGGAAAGAAGTGTCCTTTTGTGGTACGTTCGGCTTACATGCATTGTGCATTTTGTTTTGAATACACGTCCCGCATCTGAGGTGAACATCTTCTAATTTTTTTGGTATTCCATCAACTAAATTATTTTTGCACATTTCATTTAGATAATTAAAGTTTACGTGCCCTAACATTCTGTGAAATTTTTCTTTTTCCGTCATTTTATCTGTATTATTAGCATACATATTTTGTTTCTTTATATAACCATCTAATCTATATATGTTATTCGACTTGTACGGCGTGCTAATGATTTGGTTATTCTTATTGACTATTATTGCATAATTTCCTTCAGCAAAGAACTTATAATTGTTTGTTATTTTGGCGAAACTTAGTAGATTTTTATCCATTTCTTTGATATAAAATACATTTGGTACCATTATTTCAGTTTCTATGTTATTTGCTATTGAATACATCAAAACCTTTCCAACTTTATTTACTTTTAGTGGAGTACCATTACCCAGACGAACATACATAGGCTCTACTAAATTTTCAAGTTCATTGAAATATGATTCATTATTTACAATGTGGTCAGAGCAACCACTATCAAGTATCCATTCTATTTTTTGATAACCATTTCTGATTTTATGATTTACGAAATGACATGAGTGATCGATTACGTTTTGTACGTTTGTGTTACCATATTCCATCCTGGTGAAGAAAGTCTCGTTGATGTTGGCCCCAGGTCTCTCGTTCTGGGCGTATCTGGCGTCGCGTTGACATCCGTTGCCCTGCCATTGCTGCCATCGGTTTCCATGCCATTGCTGTCATACTCTTCCTCTGTTTCGCTGACCGTTGCCTCGGCCTCTATAGTTACCTCTTCCCCGATTGTATCCGTAACCTCTTGAGCCGTTATCTTGGCCTCTTCCGCCGTTGTTCCAATAGTTTTGTATATCTTGATTTCTGTTGTTATATTGTGGAGTTTGACCACCTCCTTGCCAAGCGCTTCTACAATCCTGTTGGTAATGCCCTCTTTTGTGACACCTAAAACATGACATTATTTTATTTTTGACATATTCACAAGTCCTATCACTTTCTGTTAACGTGTCGATCAAATCACCAAGATAGCTCATTGAATCGGGTAAAGTTTTTAACAAATAGTCTAGTTTTTCCTTTTCTTTTAAAGTTGCGCCCGCGTTTTTCAGTTCATTTGTTAATTTTTCAAACTCTAAGAAAAAGTCACTTGAGTTTTCAAAATCTTTTAGTTTCAAACGATCTAATTTATTTCTCACACATATTTGCAGTGCGGTCGACTCCTTGATATACAACTGATCAAATTTTTTCATTATCTTGAACGCCGAGTCTTCATCTCCTACAAACTCAAGCTGCGTATTAGAAATGCTTGAGTATATGTGATTCATAGCTTTCGTATTCTTGTCCTCCCATTCGTCTTGCTTGTCGCCGGACGTTTTCTCACGCGCCGCTGGTTCGCTACATTTTCTCATCTTCAAATACAGTAGAATTCTCTTTTTCCACAAAGCGTAGTCCCTGCCGTCAAAAATGGGCACAATCAGATCGTCGGGGTTCATCATCATGACAAATTTTCGCGTTATCTCTACTTTCACGAACACGTGCTTCTGTTCACTCGAGCAAGTTTCACATTTAAATCCATTTACATCTCAGTCTGTTTTTAATCAAACTCAAAGATTCTTTTTCACACCTTTCCTCTATTAGTTTGTTCATTATTTCTCATGTTATTTCTTAATAAAGTCACTGATTTCCAATCATTTATAATTTATCAATCTTAAGAGGCACATGGTCAATTAACCTCTTCACTGCACGTTTAACCAAGTTTAGTAACCACGCTCTGCTACCATATTAAATTTGTGGATTGAAAAGAAATAATTATGTGCACTTGCATATTTGATATATATTAACGATAATGAACTGAATATTTATTTGTAATGCCTTAATACTACTGGAGTATAATAGGATACAGATTTGCACGCGGCATCGTGCTCTTACTCTTGGAAGCCTACTTCACACACACGCCATCTCTTCACATGCAAACACAGACCGCGCACGCCCTTACACAGTCGACCCATACATCGCAGTATACCAAATTATACATATTACAACAAGAATATTTAAACTGGTAACTCTACCGTAAATACTCCTGCTCTCGCATTTTATCTATAGAACAATTTACTATTAATCTTATAAATAATTGACGAAACCCTATTTTACTATATATTATTTATCTTGCTTCATTTTATTTTATTTTACTTTATCTCATCTTACTTATCTTCTACAATTTATTTTATTTATAATTTATATATATAACACACGGATTTTAGACACACGCAGTTTCTGTATTAAGTTACACTGGGTCTATACGCATGCGTCTGATAAATCTGAATACTTCTATTGGCTGATGAGCCCAAGGCAAAATGACGTATACCATAAGGAGCCAATAACAGAGTCCATGATACTTGATTGGTACTCTCTGTCCAATCAAGCCGGCCTCTGATAGTGCGCAATCGCAGTACTCACATTTCTATGATGTCACGCTACTCTCTGACAAATGAATACCTATCTGATACGCGATTTGTCAGTGACGACTAATCAGAGAGCTCGCTGCCGTCTGCGCAATCGCTGTACAATGAACCATTATCTTACTATAATGAACTGTCTGAAAGATATAACCTGTAACATACCGCACTATGACTGTTTCCGTTTTCTTAACAAGGGAACTTTATTCCTGAGGTAACCTAGCAAGAGCGATACTGATTTCCTTGTGTACCATATGATCATCCTACCGCCATACAGCCTTTAGCTGTTGACAGCCTAAAACAGCAGGTGCTTTAAATCGAACCTAATAACCAAGTTATGTTCTCTTACTCTAACGGAGGAAATATGCTCCGTCACATATTAATAAAAAAATCGATGAAAGTGCAAACGGTCAACTGTATGAATGTGTGTGTGTTGTGTGTTAAGAGCAATTGCCCCACGTGCAATTGCTCTATGGATCGTGAGTACGATCGCATTAATCGGCATCGAGCCGTCGTAATGATGTTACATGAAGTAACCACTCACGGGTCATATAATTCATGACCGCGTCATGATAATTATATCGCGTCATTATAATTCATGTCATGACCGCGTCCCTCAGTATCGAACTGAGACAATGAATAAGTAGAGTGGTTACATGGAGTAACCAACTCACGGATCGTAAATAATTACGACCGCGTCTTTCAGTACTGAACTGAGATCGTGTGCAATTAAAGTGGTTACATGGAGTAACCGACTCACGGGCAGGGTGCGCATATTTTTACGGTCGGCCGGAAAGTGGGGACGACGCGACCATGGTGGGGACCAATAGTTGGTGGGGGTATGCAGTGATTTTCACGGTAGCGCTACGGAGAGCTTCGCGAACGCGCATGAGCACGCATGAGGGGAATAGTAGTGGGGCTTGAAATAGGGGCGAAAAAGAGGGGAAGCGAGCCGTGCACGAAAAAATATGCGCACCCTGCTCACGGGTCGTAAGTAATTACGACCGCGTCATTCAGTACGCAACTGAGAACCTGTGAAGGTAGAGCGGCTACACGGGTAGCCACTCACGGGTCGTAGATACGACCGCGTTTGATGAAATTATTCAGGATTGACCGAATCCCGCACTCGCGACCGCACTATGACACCGTTGACGATCCGAACTGCACCGATTCCTCGACACGACTGATTCAAAATTATATGTTGATCGGCTGAGAACACCCGCACAAGAGGGGAAAATGTTTAAACAAAATACTCGCCATGAAAGGCAAAGGAAAACCATTGAGTTATTTACGAGCCGCACGTGTTTACGTTAAGACCGATACGAGAAGACATTAACAGACGAAGACCCTGCCCCGACTCGTATCTCGAGGCATGGGGCTATTCCCGGTGGTCTACGGCCCGAACCACTTGAAACGAAAAAATCCTTCGGTCGCGGTTAAATTGTTACTTCTGCGATCGAACATGCTCCCCCCGTTGCGAGTAGAACGAGCAATATTATTTGTGATTGATTTTTGTGTTCATACATGTTAGTGTGTAGTATTTCTACGTGTAGATAAGTCATTACAATTTGCGAATGGATTTAGTTCATATTTCGTTAAATATCTTCGAGTAAGAGGCACAACATGGTGATATTCCTCTTGATTATGCCATTGGCGGTTTTTATCGTAGCGACCGGAACTTCTCCATCACCACCGGGATGAATCTCCGTCACTCTGCCCAGCCGCCACTGCATGCACGGTTGACTTTTGTCCATTAGGATGACAATTGAGTCCACCTTGATTTCGCCACGGGCATCGAGTCACTTTTGGCGCTTTTGAAGCTCATTAAGGTATTCCGTATACCATCGCTTCCAAAAATCTTGACGAGCCTTTGCAATAAGTCTCCAGGGGGTTAAACGGTTTTTTGGAACCGAAAGATAATTATCTTCTGGCAGCATCGTAAGAGGATGACCAACCAGTATATGTGCGGGTGTCAATGCAATTGGATCATTCGGATCCGACGAGATGGGGCACAGCGGTCTTGAATTCAAAATCGCCTCGAGCGTATTGATCTCTTCGAAGGTAAAAAGACGTAGGCCAACAACCCGTTTAAAGTGATCCTTAAATGATTTGACTGCCGCCTCCCATATGCCCCCAAAATGTGGAGACATAGGCGGATTGAAATGCCACGTGATACCTTCATTCACCGAGAATTCGTTCACGCGTTGTTTAAATTGATCTGACCCGAATACGACGTATAGTTCGCGCAGTTGACTGTTCGCGCCTACAAAATTCGAGGTCGTTATCTGAATAAACGTGCGCAGGTATCGCTCGGCGCCCAATGAAACGTCTGAAGGCGCCTAGAAAACCCTCCGTCGTCAGATCACTCACTATCTCGATATGCACGGCCTTTACCGACATGCAAACAAAGACACAACCGTATGTCTTTATACGGTTTCGATTCCGATGTTTCTTTTCTTTAATGAATAGGGGACCGAAGAAGTCTACGCCAGTAGGATAGGTAGGCGGGTTTAAACCCTGGAGTGCTCAGGGGGGCACGGGGCCGCGGGGGCATACGGTGGCGCGCAGGATGCGCAGCGAGGGGGGACGGGCACGTGTGCGATCTTCATAGTGTGCGGGGAAAGGGATCGCGAACGTACTCGGGCCCTAACGCTGTTTACGGGGAAGAGGGGGGTCCTGCAAAAATCGCCGATCCTGCGAATTCCTCTTGCGGGTGTGAGAGGGATCGCGAACGTACGCGGACCCTAACACCGTTTACGGGGAAGAGGGGGGTCCTGCAAAAATCGCCGATCCTGCGAATTCCTCTTGCGGGTGTGAGAGGGATCGCGAACGTACGCGGACCCTAACACCGTTTACGGGGAAGAGGGGGGTCCTGCAAAAATCACC